ATTCATTCTCCAGCACCTCTGGCCAATGCCGGATGGCTTCGATTTTATCTTCTGCAGGTTTGATCCCCGCAGCAGAAATGGTATAACCCAAATATGTAATTGTTTGCCTTGCAAACTTGCATTTGCGGAATTTTGGGTAGAACTGATGTTGAAGGAAAATGCTGAGGACTTGTCGCAGGAGAGAAACGCGCCCAGAGAGATCGGAACTATAGATAAGTCCATCATCTAGGTACGCAATAACGCCCTGTCCCAATAAAGGTTGTAGATAGACATTAATATTGGCCTGGAACGTAGCGCGAGCACCTTTAAGGCCGAAGGGCATCATTCGGTACTCGAATAGTCCGAGAACGGACCGGAAAGCCGTCTTTTACCGGTCTTCCTTAGCCATACGTATTTGATGGAACCCTGCTTCAAGATCCAAGGGGGAAAAATACTTGGCGCCTCCCAGCATCTCGAAAATGGTTTGGATGGGAGGTAGTGGAAAATCAAGGGCTATCGTAAGGGCATTTAGAGCCTGGTAATTGACAACCATACGCATCTTCCGCTCCCCGGAGCCATCATCACGTTTGTCCACCATGATCGTAGGAGAGCAAATAGGCGAATAGGTCGGTCCGATCCAACGATTTTCTGATAATTTAGCTATCTCCTGTTTGTGGAATATGAGCTGATCTGGGGTCATACGGTATATTGCAGATTTCGCTAGAAGTTTTCCGGGCACAATTAGAAGAGGGCGGTAATCCCTTAGGTAAGGTAGCGGGAAAAACCGCTCGATACTCGTGCAACACGTGGGCAATCTCACATGGAATATCCTGCGCCTCTGGCGAATTTATCCATATGTCGAACAGAGTGTGCTCGAGTTTTTCCATAGGCCAGGGAGACTCCTCGTCACTCTCTGCTGCCACCGAGGCGGTTGAGGCCAAAGGACTACGCCAGCCGGAGGACGTGGTTTGATTCCCAATTAATGCGCAACAAAGCGTGCCTTGCCGTTCATCCGAGAGCCTTAGGGGCACTGCCGAACCGACTTCGGACAAAGCCAGTATGAGATGCAAACCGTGCAATGGGGCCCTGATATTCTTTGTGTCAGCCGCCGCCTGACGAGCGAGCGACGTTATCCGCGCCTTCGCCTTAGTCTTCGCGTGGGACTTATACGTCCTTGGAGGCGGGCATAGGAATATAGCTGCCTCCTCGGCC